ATGTAATCAAAGACTCTGTGAAATGCAAGGTTCACACAACTGAAAATTGTTATCAAAAAGTTCAAAATATCTTCATTCAACTCTGATCTGTAGCTCTACCATGAGTGTAAAGACTCTATATGATCTTTTATACAGGCTTTACAATACATATTAGATAATCACAAGGTAATGACCAAACAATCTCAGAATATTCCTTTCCAAAAGCTTTGTGTTTAGTGCCTCCTTCAGTAGGAATTTAGTTCAACTCTGTAAAGCCTACATACAAAAGAAGTACAAATGCTACAGAGGTCCTCCAGTATGGATGCCTCTGAAAAGGCATTTATGAGAAAAAAATAAAAAAAATAAAATAAAAATAAATAAAAATAAAAATAAAAATAAATAAAAATAAAAATAAAAATAAAAATAAAAATAAAAATAAAAATAAAAATAAAAATAAAAATAAAAATAAAAATAAAAATAAAAATAAAAAAGAAAGGTGTCTCCTGGCATGACAAACTCATGCTGCAATAGCTGGGCAGTACAGTCCCTCAATAAGAAATACTTTCATGTGTAGTTAGTTATTATACTGTGGACATAGTATTTTCAGTCTTAAATAAGTACATCTCTACACCAATGCATCTGAATGAATGTGGAAAATAACCATATAGTGGCAATTAACCTATGAAATGGAATAACATTGATGTAATGAATTTTCCTGCAAAAGTACTCAACAAAAGCAGACTTGCACAACGCATGGTGACAGACAATTTTTATACCAGAAAGAGAACTTACATCTCCAGAGTGATTCTCCCACTAAAACGATTTCTTCCTGAAACCAGGAACACATAAAATGAAGAAAGAAAAGAAAGTCCATAGATCTAAAAGACATCTCAGAAATCATTTTAAAAATCTACAGAAATGCCTTTTTTTAAAAAAAAATACGCTATAAAATTATATTTAAGAGATAGACAAAGCTCTTAACTTTTAAATTATTTAAAAATCCAAAGAGAATTTGTTCACCCCAGTCTGAAATTCAGGAAAACAATTAGAAATCTTTGAAAAACAAAACAAAACAAAACAAACAAACAAAAAACCTTAAGGGTTGTTGAAAAAAAAATTTATTTTTTTTTAATCTCTGAAAAAAAATCCATAATTTCACTAAAATTCCTTTGACTTGCAAACAGCTGTCAAGTTGGAAACATTTAAGCATACGTTAGCTCAGTAATTGTAGCCTTTCTCTTCCAGCAATAGGATAATTCTGGCAATTAATAGGATAATCCCTAGATAGTGATTAAGGTAAATTTCATGAAATTAATTATGAAATTAATATTAATATAGTCACCATTATGGTAACTAAAATATCTTGCAACCATATTTTTATGTGGTGAATGTAATGCAGCAGGGTGGAAACCAACTCTGACTTGATTAACACCGATGTAAAATGGCAATGGATTCAGTCACACAAATGAAAGTATGCCAGAGCATATCTAATGCTAGTGACATTTGCAACAGGCTCATCATGAATGGCATTTTGTGATGTTGTCTGCCCCCCTATCCCCTCCACCCTAATGAGTATTTGTACTCCAGAAAGTACAACAATGACAGGAGCAATAGCATCAGCTCATGGAGAGATCCTGTTGAACAAGACTTGTAGGTCATATTTTTAGTGTTTACATGTGCTCATATTCGATATTATTAAATAATTTCATGATATGGACACGCTTAAAGCTCAACTTGCACTGCTTTTTATTACTTTATTTATATGCTGGGTCAGTGCACATAAAGCAGCCTGTAAATTTTAAGCAACCTATTTAATTATTCTGGATTTATTGTGACAATCACCTATAAGACAGAGATACCCAGTGATGGCACCTGATGACCATGGTGCTGTCTAAAATCAGACTCTATCTAAGGTAATAGTTTGTAATTCAACCATCCATATCAGACTGTGAAATGGATTACGATGGTAAGAGAAATGAAGGTCAGTTTTCATCGGTGAACGTGCTGTTGATTGCAGAAGTATGTGATGAAATTATATATAAGTTTTTATCATCCTTAGAAAACAGAAAACAAGCTGAATGAACTTCCATTCCTCCATGGTTTAAAAGATGCCCTCTCCATCCCAAGACAAGCTGGATAAAGAGACTGATACATAATTATTATTTTATGCCAGCTAAAAAATAAAACTAAAAGCATATCTGTTTATATCTAGTGTTGGGCTGATATTTTATATTTATTTATTTATTTTTAACATTTCACCAATAAAAAATAATAATAAGCTTCAACAAAAATGTCTTCTCATAGGTATCTTCTGCATGGACAGGAAGAATCAGTCAAAGCCAGATTTTGCCAGTGGTTTTTTCGTAGACTACTGCAAAAAACAAGGTGTTTTGGAGGTAAATGTTATCAAAGTCCTGTGGGGGGAGGGGAAAGCCTACTGTTTAATGTCTGAAAAACTCCTGTCATTTTTTATGTTATTTCTTATTACGTTAAATATGTAACTATGATAGGAGCATCTCACCACCTTGTTTCACGTCACAGCTGCCTGCTAGGATCTTTTATCTACAGATGCTCACCAGCATAAATATCTCTAAAGCTGTCAGTATAAATATAGGTAAATCTACAACAGATGTACCAGCGCACCTTGGGAAGAATTCTTCATGGACATAAAACCAACAACTTTCCCCTTCCCATCATATTTTTTTCTTTTTGATCTTGAGGTACACATCTGTGCCATCTTAACTTCAGTGTTGTGCTTCACTGTTATATAAAGGGCTCTCTCCTACCTCGTCCCATACTTCTGGTCATAACTGCGAAAACTGATTTGTGCAGATTCTAAGTGCTTTTTAAAATAGAAGTGGAAAAAAGAAATCCAAATATACATGAAGTCCTAATGGAGTAAAAGGAGAGAAAAGTATAAAGATGTATCTTTGAATCAGATAGCCAGGCTAGCATGGAAGTTCTTTATTTGGATTTAGAAGGAATTATTGGTAATAGGATGATAAGCAAATATAGAAACATTGAAAGTCTCATCAGTGCAGAAGAAGTTGTGAAATTCCATTAAAACTCTCCTAATAAATTAATATTTAACATAGTAAGATTTGAGAATTATTAACTTCAGTGACACTGAGGTCTGTCAAGAAGAGTGTCCAAACCCTGGCTGGGAATTATATATGCAGTGCTACTAACCTCAGTTCCTAAAGCACAAACTGTAATGAAGGCTCAGACCCAAAGACATCAAAGATTCAAGGATCAGTTGTTACCAGAATAAGAGAATCTGAGTTGCTTAGCAATTTAAGAAACTGCTGGAAGTCAGCACGACATAGACACATAGATTCACAGAATGGTTTGAGCTGGAAGGGACCTTAAACACCTACTTCCACAAACACACACACACCCAGCACTGGGAGAGACACCTCCAACTAGGCCAGGTTGTCCAAAGCGCCATCCAACTTGGCCTAGAACACCTCCAGGGATGGGGTAGCCACAACTTCTCTGGGCAACCTGTTCCAATGCCTCACTACCCTTATAGGAAATATTTTTTACCTCATATCTAACCTAAGTCCATCCTCTTTTTAGTTTAAAACAGTTGCACCCTGTCCTATCACTACACTCGCAGCTTTCCTGTAGGCCCCCTTTAAGCAAGGAAATGCCACTCTAAGGTCTCCCTTAGAGCCTTCTCCAGGCTGAACAACTCCAACTCCCTCAGTATGTCTTTGTAGTAGAGGTGCTTCAGCTCCTTGTTTGTCTTCTTGGTCCTACTCTGGACTTATTCTAATATGCCCATGTCCATGGACATGATTTTTTTTATTGTTATTATGATACAAAAAGGATGTGGACTGAATTAAATGAACAGGGGCTTTGCATTTTGTTCTTTATTGACTACACCCCAGACATGCTGAAAACATAAATTATTCAAAATTAGTTCTACAGCTGAAAGAAAAAGGTGTGTTCTTTTTGTTAATCACCAATATAGGAAAGTAGCACTGTATGGTGCAGCAGTAATTTTAAAGATGTCTACTTACACAACCATGCTGCATTCTGCAATACATGCAACACATTATCTATACTCCCCTCTTACTCTGTTTGGACAAGTGCCTCTAGTTCAAAACAATGTTTTTCAAGAAATATATTGGAAGATCAGTTTGTATTTTATAAACAACAAATCAGAAAACTATCACATTGAATAAAAGACCTACCGATTCTTAGAAGTCTTAGACTGACCATTGCTCTAACTGCTTGCTAGGGATACTATTTACTCATTGTGGAGGTGAAAGGTTCTCTTGATTTCATCAGAATGGTAAGAGGTCATGCAGAGAGGATCCAAACAACCAGAAAAATCTGCCCAATAATGTTAAATTTTTAAAGGTGTAAGGATGTCTGCAGAAGAAGAAGTCAGTGTATACTCCAGGTCAAGTTTATAGAATTTCCACAACACTATGGAATATGTTTTTAACTTGGGAAATTTTAGGTAGCTGTGGAGCCTTTATAAGAAGGTTCATAATGAAAATTGATTTGCAAACCACAACACATAGACCCTATATGTTGGTCTATTGTGTTTAGTTTGGTTGTTGTCTTCTTTTTTTTCTTTTTTTTCTTTTTTTTTTTTTTTTTTTTTTTTCTTTTTTTTTCTTTTTCTTTTTTTTTTTTTTTTTTTAAGCTTCTTTAAATCATAATTTGTTGTGGAAATTGTGTTATCTACTCCATACATCTGGAGCTGCTGTTTGCATCTGCTTTAATTTAGATTTGTTTTTTTGGCTTGTGATGTTTTTGTTTGTTTGTTTATTTGTTGGGGGGGGGGGGGGAGGGTTACAAGGCAATATAAAAGGCACTAATTTTGAATAGAATTCTAAATACAGAGCACAGGATGAGAGCAGTTATCAGCATCTGTTACGTCTAAGACTACTTCCAGAGGTAAGGAGTCTGCCTTATGAACAAACACTTACTGGGTAAGGATAATAATCTTCCCTTCAGGACTGTCAGAGTCATAATTGCAGCTATGGGTCATCAGTTGCCAGTGCTGAGTTCTTTTCTTCTGTGTCGTTTCTACTTAGGGATCAGGGAATGCTGTCAGCTGATGGTCAAGTAGAGGGAGCACCAGTGAGTGTCCTTGCTTTGTTCTGCTCCTGGGATCAGGATACCAATGGAGTTCACTTTGTCTGTGGTATATAAACAAATACTAATATTGATATGAACCTGGTTACTGAATATTTGTAATATGCTTGCGTAATTATAGATAGAAGTGTATAAAATGGAGCCTTGACAATACTCCTAGTCAGATGCATTGCTGTTTTGTATCATTTGTTTGAATATGTTTTATTGCTCTAGAAGAACTAATTACTGAAATATTTTGTCATTCTATATTATTAAATGCAGAAGGGCTGAAAAGAACTGGATGGTGGGCTAAAGGATACTGAGGAAGCCACCAAATTTTAACTTTGCTTCTGATGAAACAAGAATGACAGTAGTTTGGAGGCAAATGTATAGAAATCTATTTGTTTCTTAATGTAATTCAGAACAATGCCTACAGGTGAATATTACAGGACATGCAGAATATGATTAAGAAAGAACAGGTGTCACTAAGTTGACTGGTTACGTTGACCTTGATAAAGTGATTAAACCGTGCATCATTATGCTCCACAGCAAACTTTTGTTTAGTTCAAAACAGAGTTTGAAAAAGCACTAGGAAAATGTTCAAAATGCCAAAGGAGTAGTGAGATCTGAGCATGACTGAATGTTACTTTTAAGCCTATATTCTTCCTTTGATGCAGGCTTACAAATCCAATTAACATTAATGAGAAATGTGTTGTGCCCATATGCAAACGATGAGCTGAGAACCCCTACTGCCCCCTCCTAGATTTTTTTGTATGTTTCAAATATTGAACGGTTACATTGAAAGCATATTCTGACTTGAAAATTTTCAGTTTTGTGTTTATTCTGCCCTAATAAAAATGGATAGTGACAAAATGTAATTGCTTCAGTAACATCTTGCAAGAACATCAAGAATGTCTTTTATGTTTCAGTAGTTTGGAAGGAAAAAAAAAAAAAACGCAAAACCAACAAATACTGTCAATGTATTTTGCACAGATCACATAACCTACATTGTATAAATCACAAAGCACTGACAGTTCTGTAAACATTGTTTTATGAGGTGTTAAAGTCAGATTTCTAAAGAGGCAAATAATAAATCAGATTGGGGTGGGGGGGGTGGGGGGGGGGAGGAGGGAGGAAGGGAGGAGGGGGCAATGTTAAAATTAACCAGTAATGTTAATAAGACCTTAGATCTGCGAAAAGACTACTCCTGGTTTCAAGACAGCATTCTTCAAAGAAACAAAAATCTTCCAAATGGAATGAAAGACTTCAATTGTTTCCTGAAACAGATTTTAAAATGATGAAAGTAAGTCATCTGCATTATTAATCACAAAAACACATCCTGTGAATTTTAATATTGTATTTGTTATTTCCTACTGAACACAGTGTTCCTCACAACCTGACAAGGTGATGATCCCAAAACCAAAACAGATGGTCTTTAAAAAGATCTATAGATCCTCTCTCCTAATGAATCTCAAGAATCCTACAGGATTTATAATAAAGCTTCTTATACATATAAAAATAAATGTACTTTAAGAAGGAAGAACTTCTTTACCGAAAGGGTTGTTAGGCATTGGAACAGGCTGCCCAGGGAAGTGGTGGAGTCACCATCCCTGGAGGTCTTTAAAAGGTCTTTAAAAGACGTTTAGATGTAGAGCTTAGGGATATGGTTTAGTGGAGGACTTGTTAGTGTTAGGTCAGAGGTTGGACTCGATGATCTTGAGGTCTCTTCCAACCTAGAAATTCTGTGATTCTGTGATTCTTCAGTATCTTCCTTAATAATAATTCTAAGAAATCTGTTCCTTGTGTCTGGGGGCTTTTGTGTCTAACTTAAGGGACATCTCATTGCTCAACCACAGCTGGAGCTACAATGCTATCTTAAGCATTTGATATTCTTTTTCTTTTCTGAATTGGGTATATGTGTATGTTTTTGCTTATCCCATTTTGCTCTGTCAGCTACTTCAAATTCAGTCAATTTTTCACTTTCCCTGCTAGCCCTTCTATGATTTTCCCATTCTACCTTCTTGGCATGGAAAAAAAAATCATGGAAAAAAATCAAAATTCCAGTCTTCCACTGGGTTCTTTCTTTCTCTCTGCTGTGAGTCAACAGTTCATTCCTGTTTTCAATTAGTTAGGCAAATGATGATCTGTGATTTCTGTATTTCTGTTAAGTTCTGTGTCTTTTAAAATCAACTCCTCATCCCAGAACACTGGGGATTTGGTTCTACATGTTATATCCTGGAAACTAAGTGTACTCTGTACCTCTGAAAGAGATGATTGTTTTTGTGATATGGCTATTATATATATATATATATATGTGCATATGTATATATAATATTATATATATATAATGTTATCTTATATATATATATAATATATATATATATTGGGTGTCACTTCTTCAGTCAGGCACAGCAATACAAGTTATCCTAGGAAATAATACTTAAGTGCATTTGTCTTGCATATTGTCAAGGATAGACTATGAAAATATTTCTTAAACAAGTAACCATCTTATATATTAATTTACAACATTTGATCATTGTTTTAACAGATTTCTACCATGTAGCTGGTTCCTGGGGAACTTCATAACTTAAATGTTCTGCAATATGGTCCTTCAGGAGTTAGGCACTTCCTGGCCTGCTGAGTTACATTTCCAATGCAATGCACCTTCCAATCATCTTTCAATTGCTTCAACTTTCTGTGACTGACCAGAAGGGAAACCATCCAAGCATCTCTATGCTTTCCTCATCATCAGTTTGTCATTTCAGTCCAAACACAGCTAAAAAGTCAGTGACACTCGATTGTAAGTTTCAGCTGACTTCACAGAGAAGACATATGAGACTTCAAAACTACAAAACTAATCAAATTCCTTAACAAATCATTTATATCCCTATGAAATCAATGATGGAACAAATTTCTTAACTCATATAAGTCACTGTCTGCTGTCATGTTATCTAACCCAACTACTTTGGATCTTTTATTCCAGCTTGTTTTCAAAGTCCTACATAACCATTATGAAAACATTTCAACATTTCTTCTAAATTATGGAATACAATGTAATTATGGATAGAAAATGCATGCTTCCTAAACTCCTTGGCAGAGTATATATCTCATTTGAGCTATCATAATGGATCTTTTGCTGCTAGAAAAACTTTCACAACATTTAAATTATATTGTGGTATTGTATTTTATTTAATTTCATTTTAATTTCATTTTATTTCATTTTGTTTTGCTTTGTTCTGTTTATTTCTATCTAACTTCTTCCATATATACTCCTTCTGTAATACAAAGAAACCATTTTTGCTCCTGAAGTCTTTCAAGTAAATGTAGAGAACATTCATGCATTTGTGCAATCTCCCTTTACTGTCCTTTTACTGTCATATTTGGCTCTAATTGTCCCTTAATCCTTCTCTAACTTGTGTTCATTATTGTTGATATTCTCTGTTTCACCTCTGTCATAATGTGATGCTGTTGGTAATTTTCCATAGGAATCTCTTCCAAGGATTAGAGTTTGAATAAAATTTGAAATCAGTATATTTGATATGTATTGAGCTCTTTATAGAAATGATGCGGAGCTCCACTGTATGCCTCCCAATAGCCCCCAGCTAGTAGAAATTCTCTTGTTGTTCAAGTGGAAGAGGCCTATGATTTCAGAGAAGAAAGTTGTAATTTCCTCTTCATTCATCCATTCAGTTAGCTGGTAAATGTGATTTCTGAGTATACAAGCATCCATGAATGGTTTTATAATGATCCTGCAGTAAATTAATGTGATTTAATCTGAAGACACTTGAAGGCAGCAGCTGCATCAGATGATGTTGCTCTCCTCCTGAAATGTGACAGTAGTTTTGGTGGTATACAGAAAAGCTATGTTTTGCAGAGGGGAAAATGATAAACAGGACAGAATATTATATACATATATACATACACATATAACAATATTTCAGCTACCTTACTAACAATAGGACTGCAGAGAAGTTGCTGATAAAGGAGTATATATTAAAAAAGAAAAGGGAAGTGGAACTGAATAGAGAATTATAGCCATCAGGAAAACCAAGAGTTTGCACTGTAAAATGCTAATAAACAGAGACCTCTTGCTAAATGTAGCTCAGTGAAACCTGCAGGGTATAGCCATGGCCACAAACATAAAAATGTGGACAATTCATTCCCTTGTAAACATTCCAGATTTTCTTTTAAGTAGAACAAGACATTAAAAAAAAAAAAAAAAAAAAAGATGAAATCAGAATTCAAAGAAGGATAGAAGGATCTACTAATAATACAACCTTAGAAATGCATAGATACACAAATGCAATATTCTGCCTCTGGAAGTGTAATTGTCAATAGAATCTGTCAGATATCTCTTCCACCTTTTTATGGACTTTACTTTGCTTTACTTTGTCTTCCTTGGGGAAGGACTGCTTTAGCACATTGACCATAGACAACTCTTGACCCAGATGACTGTTTTTCATGAACCCTGGCAGCTTGATCTTCTTTATAGCAGACCTATGAACAAGACACCAAGAAAAAGCCATTTTCTCAACCGCTGTATAAGAAATGAGGAAAGAACATGTTTTATCTCCTGACACACCAAATAGCCAAAAGATAAAAATATTTTTTGTTGTTCATTTCCAGTAGCAGAGTGAGTGAGGATTCTGAAACTCAGGCTTCCAATTCAGCCTTCATATGACCTCTTGCAAGGGGCTAAGCGCTGAAAGTTCTGAGAGCTCATCTGTGCTAACCCATTTGACCAAACCCTCTTGTGCATATACAGTTCATTTGCTCTCAGATTTTGCTTTGGAAGCTATGAATAATAAAACACCCACACATTTCTAAAAATGCAGTAGTGCATAGTGATATCATATATTACTGAGTTTCTACACAGAGAAATCAATATTTAGTGAAATCAATGGTTAGAGAAATGAAGTGGGAGAGGGTTAACACAGTTAAAGCTGGTGCAGCTTTAAATAACATATGTTTTTAACAATGTTTTCCAGTGATTTACAAATATCAGTGAAATTGAATATGCTTATTTTTCATTCATTTCATAGAATAACTTTTCTTTTATAGTTTACTGTCTCCATTAGAATATTTTTATGCTCTTAAAGCACTTAGTATCATAGAATAGAATCATAGATTCATTAAGGTTGGAAAAGACCTTCAAGATGATCTGATTCAACCATCACCCCACTACCAATATCACCCACTAAACCATGTCCCTAAGCACCTTGTCCAACCTTTCCTTGAACATCCCCAGCGATGGTCACACCACCACCTCCCTGGACAACCCATCCACATGCCTGACCACTCTTTCTGAAAAGATACATCTCCTGTTGTCCAATGTAAACCTCCCCAGCACAATTTGAGGCCTTTACCTCCAGTCCTATCTCTGGTTATCTGCAAGAAGAGGCTGACATCCAGTTCCCCATACCTTCCTTTCAGGTAGTTGGAGAGATCAATGAGGTCTCCCCTGAGCCTTACATTCTCCAGACTAAACAACCCCAGTTCCCTCAGCCATTTCTCACAGGACTTGTGTTCCAGGCCCTTTGCCAGCTTTGTAGTCCTTCTCTGGGCATGCTCCAGCACCTCAATATCCTTCTTGTACTGAGGGGCCCAAAACTGAACACAGTACTTGAGGTGCGGCCTCAACAGAGCTGAGTACAGGGGAACAGTCACCTTCGTGGTCCTGTTGGCCACACTATTCCTGATAAAAGCCAGGAGGCCATTGGCCTTCTTGGCCACTTGGGCATGCTGCTGGCTCTCGTTCAGGTGAGTTTAGCACCTTTTGTGATATTCATGTCTTCAGACATACAGTATTTTGAAAAATAAAGAATGTTTATTGTTTATTAATGTTTATTTTTCTTAACCCTTCCAAAGCACTCAACTCTTACTTCTATACTATGGTTGTTTCCACATTCAAATAATTTATTTTCTCTTAATAATTAGTGTTAACAGCTCAGTTTTATGCATTTATATGCATGCTATGTTAATGAAGAACAGTCATTTCATTGGCAAAATTTTAATTTTCTGAATCATCACCAGGTTCTGGTATCATACTGTTATATTGTCTCTGATTTAATGTGCTGCGGTGGCTTTACTCAGGTGGGCAGCCGAGCTCCACCACAACCGCTCTCTCACACCCCCTTTCCTCAAAGAGGAAGGGAGAGAAAACACAGAGAACTCGAGGTTTGAGATGAGAAAGGTTTAATTAAAGGGAAAGGGAATGGGGAGAAAAAGAAACAAAAGAAACAATAAGTCTGCGCGGAAGCACAGAGAGAGGGGGAAA